ATGATGGCTACTCCATTTCTTCTAAGGGATTCCTGCCCACAGTAGTAGATATAATGGTCATCTGAGTTAAATTCACCCATTCCAGTCCATTTTAGTTCACTGATTCCTAGAATGTTGACATTCACTCTTGCCATCTCCTGTTTGACCACTTCCAATTTGCCTTGATTCATGGACCTAACATTCCAGGTTCCTATGCAATATTGCTCTTACAACATCGGACCTTGCTTCTATCACCAGTCACATCCACAACTGGGTACTGTTTTTGCTTTGGCTCCATCCCTTCATTCTTTCTGTAGTTATTCTCCACTGATCTCCAGTAGCATATTGGGCACCTACTGACCTGGGGAGTTCCTCTTTCAGTATCCTATCATTTTGCTTCTCAACTGTTCATGGGATTCTCTTGGCAAGAATACTAAAGTGGTTTGCCATTCCCTTCTCCAGTGGACCACATTCTGTGAGACCTCTCCGCCATGATCTGACCATCTTGGGTGGCCCCACATGGCATGGCTTAGTTTCATTGAGTCAGACAAGGCTGTGGTCCTGTGATCAGATTGGCTACTCAATCCTCTCTATGAAATCCATCTCAGATTTGTTGAATCAATGTCTATAAAATATCCATAATTTAATCTATAAAATATCTAGAATATCCACTATTCCAGTCTCATCTGAGCCACTGACTTCTTCCATCTTCCATTACAAGAGCCAAATATCAAGTCTTTGTACCTCAACCCTAGACCACCTTCTTCCTACATATATTGTCAACACAGCTGATAGACTAAATCTTTAAAAAACTTCAGTCATATCACATCTTTCTCTGCATCATCTACCCCTTTAACTTAGAGTAAAAGCCAAAGCTCAGGCAATGACCTGGAACATTTTTCATGATCTGTCCTTTACCCGTCCAGTTTGACTTCATCTTTTCCTATTCTTCTCACTCACCCTGCACCAGTTTTCCTGGTCTCCTTAAAAGTAAAAGAATCATATAGAAGAAAACATGTTTGTTTTAGAATGTTTGTTCTAATGGTTCTTTTATTTACAACTTCAGCTCATCAAATCCATCATTTGCTTCAGGTCTTTGCTCAGATTCATCCTCTCAATTACATGCATGTCTACTACCCTAGAAGCATGATGTCTATCCTCACTCCTAGCACTCTAGATCTTCCATATTTTTTTTTAATTTTCCTATAACATTCCTTAACTTTCAACATGCTGTTTACTTTACTTCTTTACTGTGTTTTGTATTTATTTCCCATTTACTCCCAAATAGAATATAAACTCCTTGAAAACAGGCGTTTTTGTTATTAATAGTTTTATTCACTGATGTATGTGTCTAAAGCACTTGCATATTTACTAAGCTTACAAAAGAAGCTCAGTAAGTATTTGTTAACAAATGAATGAAAGGCAAGCACTTTGGGACACCTACAAAAGGAGAGCACCCTACAGATCTGAAGCTCTGGATCACTTCTGACAAGGCATGTTCAAAGGGACACTGAATGATGGTTGTGAAGCTAGAGTTGCCTTGAACACATTAATCTAGCCATAAACCTAATTTCCACAAATAACAAAGTCTGATATTGCATCTCCATTTTGCATGTTGGTGATAGAAAAATACATGCATTCTTGGCTCTACTACTCATTAGCAGTGAGACTCTAATAAAATTTTTTTTAATCATTCTGTGTCCAATAGTCTTTATTTTTTAAAATCAAGATAACAAATATATCCTAGGGGACTGTTTTGAAGTTAAAAGAGATCACAAATTAAAGGTGTGGGGCAGGAGTATGTACTCTAAGAATATTAGGTTTCTCCCAGCCTGTGTATTCTTTGACTTCAAATTGTTGAATGATTGCCAAGAGGCTGAATCCATCTAAATGATTCCATCTAATTCCATGTCCTCTATTTTAGGGGATTTTTCAAATACTGTCCCTCATCCTGATTCCAGAATGAGACTCAGAATAAGGTTTCTAGAGATGTAATTTAGAGACCTCACACCTACCTCCAGAGCTTTAGTCTGAAACCTCAAGTTTCCTGGGTCTGTCCCCGAACCAAATTTATACTACATAATTCACTCTCATCTCCACTGACTTCTCTCCCTTCCCAGTTACTCTGCTCCTTTACTTTCGGCTCCACCCTTGCACAATCCCACCTAACTCTTTGTGTCCCTGCAAAGCACCTGGACTAGGTCTTTGCACTGAGGACTGCTCACTTAGGAAGTGACCCACACTTCTAGTTCCACCGTGATGGCATATTGTGGAGAATCCTGTAGTATCTCATGAACTTTATTCCTTTGTTTCAGGCCTGGAATAGGGAGGATTTTTTCCTGGGAACACTAACTGTGGTCTCTGATGGCCTCCACCTGGGCTCAGTACTTTAGGTATAGCTTAAACTATATCTGCTCCGTGGAATAAATTCAGAAAATCTATGTGACTATCTCTGCCCCTTGTTTATGTGTATATGCTCCTCTTTTATGGCTGTTATCCTTTTAAAATTATATATATATGTATATATTATATATATGTGTGTATTTATATGTATATATTTGTGTATATATATGTATGTATATGATTTTATATATATATATATATATGTTATAGCTTTCAGACAGGAACTAGAGCAATAGCTTGAAACACAGTTTCTCTTCTAAACACATTCCTTCATTTGCTTGTTTTTCTCATAAGACCCCTTTGGGAATTAAATACAGTTTTTAGTGTTTTTCTCAAGAGAGACTTTTTTTTTTGAGGTAAGAAATAAGCTTTCTTCTTTCTAAATCACTTTGAACTTTTTTTTCCTAAGGACACTTCCTAGAGCTGAAGTTATAAACATCATTTCCTTCCCTGGAAAAAGATAATTAGGCATCATTTTAAAAAGAGTACTTTAAAGAGATTTAAGCAAAAGCATGCAGTAAGTGACATACCTTGACACATGGGTATAGTTCTAGGCATGTGGAACTCGGCTATGATGTAATTATACAATGAGGAATTTCCATATTATAAAAATTAACATTTGGGTGGTCCAGTAGTGTCTTTCTCTGGGTTTATAGAGGTTGTCAGGGAGATGGAATGTTCTACTATGAGTATGGCACAATCATGGAGGGCATTTTTAAAAAGAGGATTCAGGGTGGGCGGCTCCTCCAGGTTGATACATTAAGATGATGAAATCCAGTTTCAGAGAGGCAATGACTTGCTCTCAAAAATTATGTAGCTGTTTATAGCCTTAATTGCCTCATCAATAAATGGAGAACTGTCTGTGTTTTTGCCATACTATTAGAAAATGTAAACATTTTGGGTTCTTGAACCTAAGACCACCCCATTTACCATCCCACATACAGTGTATGTTAGACAATTGTCTGTGTGAACTGACTGAAGGGCTCAAGGAGATAAACCTGTTATTCTGGGGCCTCCAATTCTGCTCCAGAAGAAATATCCCTTCATGTTTCACAACTGCTTACCATTCCCCCACCCACTTTTTAATATTATTAAGAATTTTTTTTCACGCAGTTTTAGGTTCACAGTCTAATTGAGAGGAAGGTACAGATATTTCCAACACACCTCCTTCCAAAACACATGCTTAGCCTACCCCATTATCAACATCACCCACCAGAGGGGAACACTTATAACCATGGACTTCCTGGGCACATCATTATCACAAAGTTCGTAAGTTAGACAATGTACTTGGTACTGTTAGGGGAAGCCCCAATTCCCAAGAAGTATCTTGAGTATGAAGTCTCTCAGGGGGGCAGTTGTTAGGGGAAGCACACTGACTGAAACCGCCCACCCTGGCCAGGCACCATAGTAACCATTTGCATGAGTTGTTTTACGACAGGAGGTCCTGCTAAGGAACAAGGAACTAATTAGCCTCCACCAACTGGAAGAGTTCAGGAAAGGTCAAAAGAGACACCACATGTCTGACCACCTCCCAGAATCCTCTCTGGCATCCATCTTGACTGAACAAGGTGTGCATCACCAGGAAGGACTCTGAGTCACAATGATTGGCTAAAGACAACCGGAAACTAATCCCAGCACCATAAAACCCGAGACTGCAAGCCATGTGACAGAACTGTTCTCCTGGCTTCCCTTATCCAACTGCTCTCCACCTGGGTGCCCTTTCTCAATAAAATCTCTTGCTTTGTCAGCAGATGTGTCTCTTCAGACAATTCATTTCTGAGTGTTAGACAAGAGCCCAGTTTTGGGCCTTGGAAGTGATCCCCTTTCCTGCAACAGTACTATCCATTCTAAAAGTTTGGACAAACCTATGGTGATGCTCACATCATTATATCATCATACAGATTATTTTTACTACCCTAAACATATTCTATACAAAAAAAAAAAAGATTTTTATAACCCAGATAATCACGAAGGTGTGATCACTCACCTAGAGCCAGACATCCTGGAATGTGAAGTCAAGTGGGCCTTAGAAAGCACCACTATGAACAAAGCTAGTGGAGGTGATGGAATTCCAGTTGAGCTATTTCAAATCCTAAAAGATGATGCTGTGAAAGTGCTGCACTCAATATGCCAGCAAATTTGGAAAACTCAGCA